CAGCCCTGCAAAGGTTCTGCAGAGTGCAATTACATACTCCTCCACCTCCTATCATCTCATACCTCCTCCCCCAACCAACTACGTACGCATAGACAGGCGGGAGGGGATGGAGGAGAGGAAGATCGCTGACCGCGGAAGGGAAAAATGGAAGAGAGGAGGAAGGCCAAGGTCATCAGATGCAGCCCATGCCCTCAGCCTCATCCTCATCATCCAATTCCTTCAGCAGGGCAGCTGCACTGGCACGGGTGGCGTCCGCCTGGGCCATGGGAGCTTCGTGAGACAGCCGAGGAGGACGGCGTCCACGATGCAGCGCACGATCGTCTTGGTGAACCACTGAGGCCAGCGTAGAGGGTACTGCGGACCTCGGTGCAGACAGCCTGGTCGTCGGACACGGGACAATCGAAACCGTAGTCGACGAGGCCGGAAGGATGCCAGAAGTCGGAGCACACCTGCGGGGCATAGAAGGCTTAGCCGTAGACGAAGTCTCTATAGCAGCGCTGGTGGTTGAAGCGGTTCGCAGTGTAGACCTCCCAGCTCCCGAAGCCAGCGAAGAAGGATCTGCGGACCTCGGTGCAGTCAGCCTGGTCGACGGACGTGAAGCCTTCGCAGCCGTCGTCGACGAAGCAGGAAGGATGCCAGGAAAGGAGCACGCCGAAGAAGCCTGTGACGCCGTAGCCGACGGTGGGGTAGAGGAGGCCATAGTCGCTGAAGCAGCTCTCGGGGTAGAGGCGACCGCAGCGAGCTCCACACCGCCAACGCGAACGGGAGGATCATCAGGTACATCATTGGTATGTTTCTCTTGCCCCTGATCTTGAGGTCCACCGGCAGCGCAAGAGCCGAGCGGCACCATCGCCTTGCACGCGGTGTGGAACTCGAACAGGGTGTCCTCGTACCGCTGCGCCGAAAGGTGTCGGACCATGTGGTACGAGATGTCGATCCGCTCGGCGGCTTTGGCCATGCGGCGGTCGATGATGCCCGCGGCACGCGCAGCGCGCGCAGCCACGGTGAGGCCCTCGAAGACACGGCCCGTGCGGACCTCGATGGCGTCGAGGAGCCCGTCCCTGAGCAGGTAGAGGCGCTGCGCCTTGGCCCCGAAGGCGGCCTCCATTGCAGGGAAGAAGAAATGCCTGACAGGCGCGCCGCGGACCCAGCGCTGGCAGAACCAGCGCCTTGAGCCAAAAATGGCTACGGAAGGCAGGGCGATAAGGAGGGAGGAGGAGGAGGAGGAGGAGGAGGTCGTGAGCCTTGAGCCAAAAATGGCTACGGAAGGCAGGGCGATAGGAGGGAGGAGGAGGAGGAGGAGGAGGAGGAGGGGATGAGGAGGAGGAGGAGGAGGAGGAGGAGGAGGAAGGAGGGAGGAGGGTAGGAGGGAGGAGGAGGAGGTGAGAGGAGGATGAGGAGAGGAGGAGGAGGGGAGGAGGGAGGGGAGTGGAGGGAGAGAATCGGAGGAGGGTGTGGGAGGTGGAGGTGGAGGTGGAGGTTGGAGAGGAGGAGGAGGAGGAGGAGGAGGGAGGAGGAGGAGGAGGAGGGGAGGAGGAGGAAGAGGAGGAGGGGAGGGAGGAGGAGGAGGAGGAGGAGGAGGAGAAGAGGAGTGAGGCAGGAGCAGGGGAGGAGGAGGAGGCGGAGGAGAGAGAGAAAGAGAAACAGGCAGGACCGATAGTACAATTACCAATTAGAACAAATTTCCAACCCTCCTGTGTTGGGTATTCGTTTTTGGTAGAGCACTACGGTCTCCACCTTCCTCTTTTCCTCCTCCCTCCCTCTCCTCCTTCCTCGCTCCTCCTCCTCCCTCCTTCTCCGCCTCCCCTCCTCCTCTCTCCTTCTCCGCCTCACCTCCCCCTCCTCCTCCCCCTCCTTCCCACCTCCTCCTCCCCTCCTCCTCCTCCTCCTCCTCCTCCTCCTCCTCCTCCTCCTCCTCCTCCTCCACCTCCACCTCCTCCTCTCCTCCTCCTCCTCCTCCTCCTCCTCGTAGCTGGCATCGGCGGCCGCACACATCCTCCTCCTCCTCCCCTCCTCCTCCTCCTCCTCCTCCTCCTCCTCCCCTCCTCCTCCTCCTCCTCCTCCCCCCCCTCCTCCTCCTCCTTCCTCCTCCTCCTCCTCCTCCTCCTCCTCCTCCTCCTCCTCCTCCTCCTCTCCTCTCCTCCACTCCTCCTTTCCCCTCGTCCTTCCTCCCTCCATTCTCCTCCTCCTCGTTTTCTTCTTCCTCCTCCTCCGCCTCCTCCTCCTCCTTCTCTCCTCCTCCTCCCTCGTCCTCCTCCTCCTCCTCCTCCTCTCCTCCTCCTCCCCCTCCTTCTCCTCCTACTCGTCCTCCTCCTCCTCCTCGTCCTCCTCCTCCTCCTCGTCCTCCTCCTCCTCCTACCCCTCGTCCTTCCTCCCTCCATTCTCCTCCTCCTTGTTTTCTTCCTCCTTCTCCTCCTTGCCTCGTGACGTCGCCGTTCCTTGGGGGGCTGCGATCCGCGAAATTGTCGCCACTTTCGTTGGCTGTACAGCGGTGGGGGTGTCCCACGCAGATCACCACGAGACCTCGCCGTTCCCTGGGGGCTGCGATCTGCGAGACTGTCGCCACTTTCGTGGGTTTCTGGGAGGTCCAGCGGTGGGGTGTCCCACGCAGATCACCATGAGACCTCGCCGTCCCCTGGGCAGCTGCGATCTGCGAGACCGTCGCCACTTTCGTGGGCTCCTGGGAGGACCAACGGAGGGGTGTCCCACGCAGATCACCATGAGACCTTGCCGTTCTCTGGGGGGCTGTGATCTGCGTCGCCACTTTAGCGGGCTCCTGGGAGGTCCAGCGGTGGGGTGTCCCACGCAGATCACCACGAGACCTCGCCGTTCCCTGGGGGCTGCGATCCGAGAGACTGTTGCCACTTTCGTGGGTTCCTGGGAGGTCCGGCGGATGGGTGTCCCACGCAAATCACCACGAGACCTCGTCGCCCCCTTGGGGGCTGCGATCTGCGAGATTGTCGCCACTTTCGTGGGCTTCTTGGGTGGCCAGCAGAGGGGGGTTGCGATCTGCGAGACTGTCGCCAGTTTCGTGGGCTCCTGGGAGGTCCAGCGGAGGGGTGTCCAACGCAGATCACCACGAGACCTCGCCGTTCTCTGGGGGGCTGCGATCTGCGAGACCGTCGCCACTTTCGTGGGCTCCTGGGAGGTCTAGCGGAGGGGTGTCCCACGCAGATCACCATGAGGCCTCACCGTTCTCTGGGGGCTGCGATCTGCGAGACTGTCGCCACTTTCGTGGGTTTCTGGGAGGTCCAGCGGTGGGGTGTCCCACGCAGATCACCACGAGACCTCGCCTTTCTCTGGGGGGCTGCGATCTGCGAGACTGTCGCCACTTTCGTGGGTTTCTGGGAGGGCCAGCGGAAGGGGGGCTGCGATCTGCGAAACCGTCGTCACTTTCGTGGGTTCCTGGGAGGTCCAGCGGAAGGGGTGTCCAACGCAGATCACCACGAGACCTCGCCGTGCACTTGGGGGCTGCGGTCTGCGAAACCGTCGCCACTTTCGTGGGCTCCTGGGAGGTCCAGCGGCGGGGTGTCCCACGGCGACCACCATGAGACCTCGCCTTTCCTGGGGGGCTGCGATCCGCGAAATTGTCGCCACTTTCATGAGCTCCTGGGAGGTCCAGCGGAGGGGCTTCCTACGGGGACCAGCATGAGACCTCGCCGTCCCGGGGGGGCTGCGATCTGCGAAACTGTCGCCACCGATCCCATGAGGCATGGGCGACCGGGTATTTAAACCTCGCGGCGGTCAGGCATAGGGCTGGTCACATGAAGCACAGGCAGGTGTGATCCCAACTCTGCTTACAGTCACCCCGTGGACGCACGACCTTTCCCCGTCGCATAGCGCATGGCGCTGTTAGATCGCACATCGCGGCGTGTGCGAGCGCCGCGCAGCGAATAGCGCATGGTTCTGTCCGTTGCCTATGCCGCATCCCTTCTTCAGCTGCCTGTTGCTTGTAATGCATGCGGGCACATGCTACGTTTAGCGCAAGGCGCTAAACAATGCGATGCGAACACAGCTGTCTTGCAATGCGAACACATCACAAGGCGCTGCTACTCCCACGGATTACCCTCCACATGTTTCCGCTCCCCCTCGTGGTCGCTCTCGTGCCAACGACCTGACTCTTAAGAGTGACGCCGCACATTTGAAACATCTGAGTCTGGCCCGACTTTGGCGACGCGCTCAAAGGGCGTTGCGGATCATTCAATGATTGTTTTTGTATTGGGCGCTCCGATGTACATTCGCCACATTCCTACAAAGGTTGGGCACGCTCCAGGGTTATGATTATTTGCTTTGCCTCCCGACGGGATGGGCTGTTCTATTTGGAGGCGAAAGCGATTTGGCCCGTCCCGACCGCCGCGCTTTCCGCGGCCGCCAGGCCCCAACGCCACCCTGTCTCCTCAATACCCCGCCCCGTGAGTATGCTATACGGCATGACGAGGTCATGTCAGACGAGAACGAGAAGGTACGACAGTGCAGTGACAGCCGCGGTCCGCAAGGCGCCGAAGAGCTGGGCAACGTGGGACCGCGTCTCGTCCACGCTCACGCGGCGCGCGACAGCCGACGTTGCAATGCAAACGCGCGCGCGCGCCGCGGTCGCCGCCCCAACACGCGACAAGCCAATGAACATGCAACTCCGAATTGCGGGAGCAGTTGCTGGAGGTAGGGGCGGGCCGGTGCAGAACGCACGCGCGCACACGCGCGAACAACGCAGTTCGCGCGCGCCCGCCACCAACTCCGCCCTGCCAGAGAAATTCTGGGTGAGCCTCACGTTCGCCCATTTAGGCTGCAGTGCCGTTCTGAGGGGTGAAGCTGCATCTGCAAGTTCACCGTTTGCACATCCGCTACGCTGGAAGCTGTTCGATTCACGCGGTGGGTTCATGAATTGCTGGCTTCTGCGGGGTGAGGCTTTCTTATTTGATTAATGTGTAAAGAGACGCAGTGAATGCAGGTGTGGAAGATATCTCGTATGCATTTGACCCGCCAGAAAACATTGCCACCAGAACAGTTCCTGGTCAGGA